AATAATATTGAATAATTTTATTTGAATTACTAAAAACCCTCTTAACCCGGTTATGATGCTTAAAGTAGCCTCATGTTTTGAAATGCTGTTTTTATATTGTTTACTTATAAGAGAAATGGACCGAGAAATTGAAGCGGCATAGACAAAGACGGATTGTCGGGGATTAAATTTTAACTACCTGCTACAATTTAGTACAGTCCGATTTTATCTATACCGATAAAACATAATATAAAAATATTGAATATAAGCACCAGTACTACATTTGTTTACGATTTGCATACATAATAAGCTTTTATTACTCTCTTTCATTTCTAAACAGGCTATAATAATTATCCATAGGTAATAGAAATAAAAAATGATATGACTAAATATTTCTAATATAAAAATATATATGTATAGTAAAATTATTAAATAATGCAGTCTCTTAAAGAAATAATTTATATTTCTGTTGTTCTAAAATCATTCTTGACAAAGACCAACACGCAAAAATAGCTAGTGTGTAGAAATATATCAGTATTTCCACATTTGATTTCTTGAGGTAGCCTCCTTGTGAATAAAATTATGTTTACAGAACGTTTACAAAAATTACATTTTGAAAGGACAGTGTTAAAAGTGTTGATTTTACCTAACCAGTATTTGACTTTTTTATTAAAATAATAAGTATATTTTATTAATAGATCTAACACGTTTTTGTCTATTACAAATATATTAAGCTAATTGTAAATAATTGTTTGTTAAAAGCTTGTGAGTTGCTTTACCACTTATTGTTAGTATTATTTTTAATTTATCTTTATAATATGCTATATTTCCTGATATTTGGAGAAAGTCAAAAATATGTCCCATTTTCAAAAAAAAAGATAGAATGAATATTAAAAATTATAGACCGATAGCTATTCTATATAACTTTGAGATGGTCATTTTATGATATCCTTTGCTTCCATTCAAAAGAGTATATAGGTATCTTATTCACAACATGGTTTTATTTCTGGAAGATCAACAACAACAAGTCTTGTTACTATCACTAACTTTATCGCTAATTCTTTGGATAAGAATGGAAAAACGGATTATACCTATATATAGATTTATTGAAAGCCTTTGGCAAGCTTGATCATGGGCATGGTTACATAAATTATCTAACATGGAATTAACATCATATTTTCTTAAAATTTGTAAATCTTTCTTAAGTAACATAATTCTAAATTCAAGATTCAATGTCGGAGCTATAAATCAATTGACTTGTTGGCGACATCTGGAGTTTCACAGGGATCGGTACTTACGAGGGTGGTCTGAAAAGTTTCCGACCTAACAAAGATACAAGACATTTTTTCAGATTTTTTTTTTATTTTTCAACATAGTCTCCTTGTAATGTAATGACAGCTCGATACTCGATTTTGTCCATTTTCATAAAAACACTTCAACTCACTCAAACGACTGTTACATAACAACTGCGCGTCAAAAATGGCTAAAACTTTGGTGAGTAACTGTCAACAGATGTACAACGAAATTCACTAGCTTTTATTTACGAGTGCTGCCATCTTCATGTTGTGGTCGGAAACTTTTCAGACCACCCTCGTATTTAAAGATATTCAGACACATTCCCTCTTATATGCTGACGACATGAGGCTATGTATTTGCATCTGTTGAATCATTTCAAGATTGTTTTCATGTACAACAAGAGTTGTCGAAAATAAATATATATTGCCATAATAATAAATTGCCATTAAATATATTCAGTAAGTGTAACGTTATTAGTTTATTTATATTTATTATATTTAATTGTTACTAGCAAAAAAGTTGCTATTCAGTTTGACGATAATATAAATATTATTATTTTAAATAGATGCACGCAAGTCAAAGAGAGGTGTTATATTTTATGTTACAATTTAATTTATTTTTAATATTTTATTTATCTTTAATTATTTTGTGTTCATTTTCTAGTTATGTAATTAAGCTTGTATTTTCAAATCTGTTTTTAATTTATTATGGGTTTTCATGTAATCTATTATTGTTTCTCCTGCCCTATAATTGGATTTGTATCTGTCTGGGCAGCTGTACCCCACAGAGTAGATCATTGATATCGATGAAATTGACAGTAGTATGTCTTTATATGGTAGGTATCTGTTTCGTAATGAAAATTAATATTATCCACAGTGCAGTTCATTTCTTTTGAATAAAAGTTAAAATTTCTTTCTATTCTCGTTGCTTCAACTTTCAACTGCCAAGTTATTCAATTAAGTTTATTTGAAATAACATTCAATACTTGACCATGTTCAACAAATATTCATTTCCAATTTATTGAACGATTAATAAATCATGAAAACGATTTTCCCTGTTATAAGTATCAATTTCGCTGTTATTAAAATGAAAAGCTCAACAAAAAAAACTGCATCATTTTTTATTTAAATGAAAAGGTGGTAATGTTGCACTTATAATGAAATTGTACAATAATGGTATACGAAAATACATCTTAGCATAAATAAATATTTAACTTATCACAATACACATGCGTCTTTCTTTACTAGCTGTATAATTGTCATATTCTCGTTGGGGGCCCATTTGTGGGTACTCTAATTCCAAATTGTGGCACAATGGTGGATGATGGAAGACATCTCAAAAGGATCATGTATTTTAGTGGACTGTCCACTCCAACGCAATATGGTCCAATAGTACGGATACAGGTTTTTACTGCCTGAAATAAAATATTAAAGTTAATAATGAAACATGAACTGAAGAAAAACCAAAAAGAACTGAAGGACTTAATATAAAGTAACAAAAATTACTAGAAGTCACTAGATTTCTCGTTGTTGCTGTCATAAGGTGATCAGACTTTGTCAATCTCCTTAACTTTTTGGGTTAGACCCAGTAATTTAAAATGACTGGCGTAGATTTTAAATAATCATTTACAATAATTTAAAACAAAGCTTTTATTTCATTTAAAATATTAATCGTTTCTGAAATTATATGCGATTGCTATATTCTGTACCATTTTTCAGAAAACTGGTAATACCTATATATTTTTATGCAAGTTAAAGAGACGAAACTAAATATCAAATAAAATGTTCCTAATATGTTCATTATTATTATTTAAAATAAGAAGAAAACACCACTATAATCCGTTCTGTACGGTATAGGGGTGTATGCTATTTTTTGCCATCCGTTATAAAATGAATGTTGGGCCTTAAATATGGAAGTAAAAAGTTCTAGCGCCATTTCTCCAAAATTTTTCTCCTCCTCAAATTGGTGTAACAGAACAGGAAAATTTCCAAGCAATCTCTGCTCACTACTGGAGTATATTCTCATAATCCAAATAGATAATAATTAATTACCTTTTTTGTATCATTTGAAATGTTTATTTAAAAGCATGCATTTATATTCCGAAATGAACACGAACATTTTTTTTAATGAAATGAAAATGAATGAGAAGAAAAAAATAGTTTTCTAAGATTATTGCAACATACTATAGAGAGTGTCTTTGAGAGTAGTGTTTTAATTTTGACAGATTCCTGTTTATATCAAAATGAAACATATGCGTGAAGAAAAGCGCACAATAGAGAATTTTTTTCTGAACAAGATCGAGAATTGTATCCCAAAATTATGAAAAACTCATCAATTTTTGTTATAATTTTATACTACAAAATTATCGGAAGCTAACAGAATAAGATCCTATTTTTAACATAGAATAATAATAATTTTAAATATGTACTGGTAAACTTTTTTATATTTTGTAAAAGTATTGAATAAGAAGGATAATGTGGTAATTTCAAAATTATAATTATAATTGTAGTATTGAAGATTCAGTGAAAGATATTGGAATGATGTTGCTGGCGAATTTTTGCAGCTGCGACCAATCAGGAAACAGTTTATTAAAAAATTGTATACCTAGTTTCGAAGGTCTAATCGAGGCATCATCTCTGTGGTAGGTATATTTAAGATACCGTTAATGTGCCCACTCATAAGTTAATTAAAGCTTTGTGTTGAGAATTATCATGGGAATTTTATGCACCATATCTGACTGTAAAGATGTTTCCTCGTTTCGCTTCATTTGTATCTCAAAATATGTTTTAGGAGCACACTTTTATGACCCTGTATTTCTTTAACTAAACATTTTCGTATGGACATACCAGTACTTTTATTAACGGTGGTAGAATAACTGATAAAGAAAACAGACTTGTTCCAAAAGCAAGTTTTATTTTTTAATAAATACAGTAAAATTTCATCACAATCTAGCTGGTTTATTATTGGATTTAACATCAAAAACAAAGTCTACTGGTTCTTGTTGTATCGGTGTTGTCAGATCCGTATGCATACAATGTAAACTTATTTTCCAACTTCTTGGAGTAGTTACACCCAAACAGTTAGAATGTACAGCACTTACACACTTTGATACAATCTGAAACGAATAAAAATTATATGGTAACTACAAATCTAACGGAACAAAAGTTGGAATTGTATTTTTATTAACGGACAAAAATTTTATGTCGAGTAAAATATTGGTAGGTCTATGGCATTAAAATTTGCATACATACTTGAACTTCTCATTATGAGAAACTTTTTTTATGACATTTTGTAATATCTCATGTCGAAAGGCCAGTTTATTTCAAGAAATTCTGAAATCAAGCAAAAAACAAAGTAGGCTTGAGACATTGAATTTTTGCACAATATTTTTCCATCATTCTGATACTTTTCTTCCTAACTTTTTGAAAGCTCTAAAATTTTAGTAAATTTCCAAGGATTTCTGAATTTTATGAATTTGAAATCATTGCGAAATCAGTTGAAATAACCAGGTTTTGTTTCACAAACAAGCAAGAATGAATCCTATTAGGATTTTTGACACTAACATATATTTTTTTTTGTCTTACAAGAGTCCATTCACCTATACGTGGACATGCTGTATATACAAACTACACAACCACATTAGCCAAAAACATGTTAAAAAATATAAACTTTTTTAGTTATGTAAAATTTGTCATTTGGTAAAGGAAAATTGACAATCGTATTAAAAAATTACAGTGTTTTAAAAAATAATTAAAAAAAAATCGATTTTCAGGGACAGGGGCCTGTATCTTCGTAGAGGGACCTTCTAGGAAAAATTTGTATAGGAACTTGTCATGTTATTTTAACGTCCCCTGTATAAATCCGAGAGATTCTTTGAAACCTGGTATATAAATCAATTTAAAACAGAAACTACAATATTTATCAACGTCAAAGATGTCAAACAATGTCGCACAGAAGATCACCACAATCAGCTTCCTCTGCCTTCCTGTAACATGTTCATAAGTGCCTTGATAATAGTAGAAACGTGGAAGGATTCTTTTTGGAAATAACAAGACCAGGCGATTACTTAAACTTTGGTTTTATTGAAAATAAATTGTTTAATTTACGTTTTAGAGGTATATTCTTGAAATGGATTGTGGCCATAAAATAAAGACCAATGTTAGTAAAGTAGGATTGTCTTAAAACAAACGCTTGAATACCCAGGGATCTGTCATGAGACCAGTAATACCTTATATTATATTATTATACCTAATAATTTTTGGTCTTATGTTTCTAATAAAAATCAAGATACAGGTTATCATGCTACTATGAATTTTAATGGTCAAGAACTAAATAACGGACAACTTATAGCGAATGGTTTTGCACAATGTTTTGCCAATTCTTACACTCAGAATAACGTATACACACAGCATAACAGTCAGCTAATTCATAACAGAATATTGGATTTTAGCCAAGTTGAGGAACAAGATATTGTTAGAAGTATTAAAAAAATTAAAATCCAATTTTACAATGGACCCTGATCTAATTCCGGCCTTTCTTTTGAGAGACTGTGCAACTGTATTTGCAAGACCGTTGCGGGTTATCTTTAATTTGATTTTAAAAACGGAAACCTTCCCGGATATTTGGGAAATATCGAGAATACGCCCTGTTTTTAAAAATGGCGATAAAAGTGATATGTCCAACTATCGTGCTATTACAATTATATGTAATTTTAGCAAAGTATTAGAAATTATTTTGCATAATCATTTATATGAGGACGTTAAACAAATTGTAGACATTAATCAGCATGGTTTTATGAGAGGTAGATCGACTACAACAAACCTTGTGTGTATTACAGATTATATCTCTAGAACTTTGGATAATCACGGTCAAGTCGACGTTATATATACAGATTTCTCTAAAGCGTTCGACAGGTTAGATCATAGTATTCTGTTGGAAAGGTTAGACATGTCGTACATCCAGTTCAATACCGCCACAAGTGTAAATTATAACATTTTTGAGTAGAAGGAAATAAAGCAATGGTGTTGTTTAGTTAGTTCCACAATTAATTAGCTGTTTAAAATTTTGATAGAGTATACTTACATGTTGCTGATATATAACCATACATAGAAGAATTATAGGCTGCGATAATATTAGAATTTTGTTAGATATGGCGTTATTGCACTGAAATTTTAATATTTTAAGGAGCCGCATCTGCGCCATATCTGTCATATCTGCAAAAAATGGTATATTTTAAAACTTAATCACTTGTGGCTGTATTTCATTTCGAAGTTAAACATGTTGGCATTGAAATACCGCCATAAAATCAAAAATTAAAAATTTGCAGTTACGGCGGTATTGAACTGGATGTACGATATGTGGTGTCTCTACAAGACTGTTGAATTTGTTTAAATCGTACTTGATTCGGAGTATACAGTATGTACAATATAAGGGATTTAAATCTGAACTCATTGTCTGGAGTTCCCCAAGGTTCCATTTTAGGATCCCTATGTTCAATATTTTTTTGAATGATATTAGTAAATATTTAGATGTTAATTTCTTACTTTATGCTGATGATATGAAGATATTTGTTAAGATTGATAGTTTAAATGATTGTCAAAACTTACAAAATGCTTTAACATCAGTGAATACATGGTGTACAGAAAACTGTCTTCCCCTTAACATAAGTAAATGTAACATAATGTCTTTCTCTAGAATTAATTGTCCTGTGTGTGATCTATGATTATAGGATTAACAATCACTCTCTTACTCGTCCCAATTATATAAAAGATTTGGGAGTAACTTTTAATCAAAAATTATCTTTTCATGAACACATACGCAATGTCTCTTCATCTTCTTATAGAAGCCTTGGGTTGGTGATCAGAAATTGTAGAGATTTTGCTGATCCTTCTACAATAGTGAATTTATATAATTGTTTTGTAAGATCTCGCTTGGAATATGCTTCAATAGTTTGGTATCCTCAGTATGCAGTCTATAAAAATAACTTAAATAACAATAGTCGAATTACATTAACTTATTGAGTAAAAAACTTAATAAATCTTATTATGCTATTTCTCGAGTTTCTTTACTTATTTCTACTGTTCTTAATGTATACTATAGTTTAGTGTATAGTCAGCAAAACTATAGTGTAGTGTTTTTTTTAAGTCAAATAATCTTTATTGCACAAAAAAGAATAACACTCAACGTGTTTATTGTTCCAGTTTGGAGGTCATGTAGATTTTATTCATTCATTTATTCATGTATATTCAAAACTGTATATAAACAAGAGAATATTGAAAAAAATAACAAAAACAATTCCTATGAAGATTACCCAACAAGTCACAGTGATATGTTATGCATTCCAAAACATAAAACCACCAAAATTAACAAAACTCATTGTCTGTGGAAATAAAGCTTTTAAAACTGATGTAAAAA